AGAACTGGAACAAGACCACAGAGAAACAGTTTTCCCACACATACACAGGCTGTAGTTTGTAAAATGTAATCAATACAATATATAACTGTGGGGGGAAATAAATAAAGCACTGTAATATATGTCAGAGCAGGAAAATGAATGATCTCTCTTGTCAACTATTTAAAGCAACCCAGTAATGTGAACAACCAGAAGCGAAGAGAAATCAATACCCCCCTCAGCACAGAAACAGAAAACAGGCTGGATTTTACTCCTGCAAAATCCATGCAAACAAAAACAGATTAATTCTGCTTGTCAGTAATGTGGCCATTTTTTCAGACATAGAACCACATGTAGTAGAATATCCTTAGATACAATGCTGTACTTATTAATGGCAGTTATAATAGCCCTACGGGTTTTAGTGGTACATGATTGTGTCTTTACACTGCAATTACATAATTTATTTCATTGTGTTTTGTATTTTATAAGAGATGCACTAGAAAGGCCTCAGCTTTTGGTCCCTCTAGCACTCTAAATATCACCGCAAGCCATAGCCTGAAAGAGCTATGTGAGCTTTTAGCTATGCTGGCTGCAGTCTAGCTTGGACCCTCAACCTAGAGCGCAAGTGTCAGGTCAAGACCATTAAAGAGAAGAGGCAACCTCCATAAACAACTCAGTCACTATTTCTCTTTTGATAACTGAGCACAAGTTTACATGCACAAAGACCAGAGGCTTCTCCCCTGCAGTTATCTCTGTCTAGTACATTAATGTATTCTGCCTTTATATAAAGCTATTGCAGCTACATGACCTCCTTGTTCATCCTGGAGCTGCCTCTGTTCTTGTTAATGTGATAGAAGTTCCCACTTCAGTATTCATTTTCAGAAGGAAATTACAGCTTAAGGGAATGAGGCTTCCTCAACATTTTCCAGACCCCAGGGCAGTGCTACATTAACAACAATGTGACCAGGAACTCCCATAGGTATGTTGCTTCTGTATAATTTCCCCCGCATCAATATTCATTCCTCATCATGACTCATCCATAGCCCCATCCCTTCCCAAGGAGCAGGTATCCATGCTGCTGACTGAGAAACCATTTCCCACAGGAGCTGCGGGCAGAGCTTGAGCCACATGCAGACATCCTGGCTCCTCTGCTGCAGCAGAACCTGGTCACAGGACTACCTTCTCCAGAAGCTCAGCTTTTATTAAAAATAAATCATTAGTTGCTGAAATGGCAAATGAAAGCTTCCCCAAATCTTGCATATTGCCTTGAAGTCACACTACAAGTATACACAGCACCCAGGTGCAAGCAGAAAGCTCTCACTGCATGCAAAATGGTTCTTGCCACGCTTTTAAGTGGAAAACTGTGAAGCAGCAAGAATCCTCACCACAGAAAGACCCTAAAACTGTCCTCCTGATGCAGCTTCCATCCCTGCCATCAACCTTCCCTTCAGCCAAGCTGCTTATGGGATTAGCCTCTAGACCAAATTCTTCAGAAAAATCAAAGTTCATACAAATCCGTTAGCAATCTTTTTCCAAACTTTAGGGGAAAAGCTTCATGAAACTTCAAAGTGTGCTTCTCAGTGAATAGTTAATTGGCAGCATTGCCAGGCAAATGCAAAAGGAGCGGATTGAGCATCCCACCCAGTCCCTCTGCTAGGGTTTACCACTTCAGCCAGCAGGTGCTCCTAAACCTCCTCATTTGTACCAAGGCTCCAGGTCCTCCTGGACAGAGCCTGCATGAAGGCACACAGCCCCTCAGCTCCACTCGCTGTTGATGTTCCACTTTTCCCAATACAAGCAGAGCAATTCATTTCTGAAGTCACTGTTCGGGAGTGCTTAGGTTTAATTGAGGTATCTCCAAAGGTGCAAGCAGATTTTCACATTTTAGCCAAGCATGTAAGCTTTAAGCTCCTACAACTAAATTGGTTTATTTTTATTTCATTTTTCAGATTCTACATGCCATAGTGTGCCAGGTTTCTATTTTTCAAAGCCCTGTTGCAGGAGCTGATGCCGATGCTATTGTGCAACAAGGCAATGCTGCCACTCTGTGGTCCCCATGCAAGTCACCATGACCCACCACGGCCAGCAATCTAGGCTTGGGTGCTACCTTTCAAATAAATTTAAAAAATAATAAAAAAAACACCTAATCCTCATCCACAGTGTATCAGCCTTACATGCAGCATAGATCAACTCAACTTGAAAGATCCTTTCATCCTCTTTTATGGTAAGTTAGGTTTGGTCCCTGTGTGGGCAATTATGAAGTAAAATGAATTTTCATCCTAAAGATTCTACCCAGGAAGAATGGTAGTGAAATGAAAACTCGCTTGGAATTGAAAAAATATGGAAGAAGTGAAATACCTTTGCTATTTACCAAGAGTTACTACAGGCACCCTAGAGTAGCAACATTCAACATGGATGCAGGCAAAAGAGTCACAAACATCAAAAAAATACAGAGGATAGAAGTTTGTGTATCTTTTGGTGGGTTTTGGATTTTTCTTCTTTTTTTTTTTCTCCTATAACTCAGCTTCTTCCATGTCTCCTATTCTCAAGCACGGGAACAGGGATACAGGAGTTTCCTAGCAAAGACTGGGTTTGGTCATAAGTTGCACAACAAACAAAGCAGCTGGTGAAAAAACTTTTCAGTTATTTGGTAGAAATAGCCCAAAGCAGTGTTTATAAACTACCAGGCAACAAGAGGCTTTTCCTTGGAAGTTTCAGATAAGTCATTCCCTGAGGGCTACCAGGTCCATAAAGAATTTAGATCCGATTCAAACTTAAAATAAACCAAACTTGCCTTTTGGCTATTGACCCTGTCAGAAAGCACAATAACATGTCCACATGCCTGCAATTCCCAAACCACTCTGCTCTTAGATGTCACATTTCTCCACATATCCCCATCTTAGTGGTTTTCCAGATCAACCAGGATAGCAAAAATAGCAATATCAGTTCTAGGAATTGAGCCAAGCTCATCAATAAATTGAGCAAATTGTATGACTGCTTTTTCTGCATATGGTACCAGAACACCATAACAATTTATCAATACCTATGAAACTGCCCTTAGTTCAAGTAGGGATGCAATGTTATAGTAATGCAACCCTCTGCTCAGCTAAAGCTGAAAACTTCTGCAGCACAAGATGACACCCTGTAACCACGAGACAGCACTCCTTTTTATTCCCCCCAAAGGGTGAAACCAGACCCAAGACATTATTCAAAAACAGGAGTATTTTACCGGGCTGAAGAGCAACTTTGCTCCCATTTCTGTGTTTCCAGCGCCATCTTCTGCACAGAGGAGGAATCCTTTGAGTCTCAGAAGTTCCAAGAAATAAAATCTGGAACAGATGAGTTTGGGCCTTTCCTCCTCTTCCTTTGGAATACAGCCACTGCTGAAATTAAACACTGGAAGATTTATATTTTCAGTAGCTTGACAGCTTACTGAGCTGTGTTTGAAACACCCACATGTGCCAAAAGCTTCTAATTTTACAGAAAAAGCACATTGATGTCACTGTGCTTTCCATAAATTTATACATATTCTGAGATGACATTTCATGGTTAGAGAATGAGAGAAATAAGGCTATTATTAGTAAGTGTAATGGAAGCATAACTCTTCTATAAGCATTAAAATCTCATGTTAAATGAATCCGTAGGACCATAATTTGAGCAAGGAAGGTTATTTTTCTTATCTGTGTGACCCCAAATCTTCTCCCAGGGAAAGGTTCTGAGCAGTTTGGAGATCCATTAAACTGGTTGCAACATGTTAGAGCAATTCATGTCTCAGCATCCTGCTTTTTATTTTGAAACACACACCTCATTCTCAAAATACTCAGCTTCATCCAATAACATGTATAAATGACTGCTATAAAGATCAGCCATAAATAGTTTTCATAATATATCAAGTTCACAGGTCTAAAATAAAACCATAACTGGATTTTCCTATCCCCAGTTCCAAATTTAATAGCAAGGCCAAGCATGCTTTCCATTAATCACAAGCTTGATCGCTTCTCAAGCCACACAAATCATCAGTCAGACTTGGATCTGAAACAGTGACCTAGAAGAAATGCCTGGATTTCATTTTGCTTGCCAACAGTGGCTAGAAAAGTACTTGATAAATTACACTCAGAAGCTGTTTTAATGACTAAAATCCAACATGATTAGCTAGTACACATAGATGTTCATTAAAAATACAGACAAGGTCTTATCAGCTTCCCTAATAGATGTACTGCAGCCTGCTGCCAAATCCAATAAGATAATACAAAACAGCCTTAAAATATCTAGCATGCAGTTGCCACTAGAGCGAGGCTGGCTCTCACAGCTCCGAGGCCCAGGCTGGGTGCTGCAGGGTGACCACGCAGATGCAGCAAACGCACCCAAAGGGGCTATAGGAGACACGGCCTCTGCCAGGGAGCAGCTGCAGCAGGAGCTCGTACCTGCTTTGAGCAGGGAATTTATTGCTGGTTCCTGCAGTCCCCTGCACAGAGACTGTCTCAAGGAGCTTATTCCAGCTCTAAGCAGTTTCACATCCTTTTCCAGACCAAGGACATCAAATGGCAGCAGGCCAAGTGTTTCCTGGGCTTGCTTTGCAGATACCACCCAGGAGAGGAGGCTCAGGACTGTCTCATATCCAGCAGCTGTGAAACGCCCCTGTGCACAGGCAAGCAGGAAGAGCTGGAGTCCTCGCTGGTGAACATGCAGGGTGCAGGCTGAGGCACATAGAGAGGCAAACCTGCTTTTCCCAGCTCAGGAGTCAAAACAGAGCATGCAGGAGAGGTGCCAGGCTGCAAAGTCCCATGAGCACAGCAAGGCACTGGGGCATTCTGCAGAAAGGACTGCAGACAGCAGCAGCACAATAGGAATGAAAATAGTTAACGCAGATAAAACCCATTTCCCTCCCCTTGGCCTGCCCCTCCTGCAAGCTCGGGTGAAATGAAAGCGAAACCTTGGCCTGTCCCTTGTGCAAGCTCGGGTGAAATGAAAGCGAAATCGAGTCCTCAGGGAGCAGGAAGGGTTCCACAAGCTCCTGCGTGGCCATGGGCTGCGGGGCACTCCTGGCCACGGGCTGCCTGCTCTGCCTCGGTAAGTGCCCGGCTGCGGAGCGGGATGCAAAGGCGAGGACACCTTTCCCAGGGACCTCAAGGGCAGAGCTCTCTGAACAGAGGACCTGCCAGCAGCAACCTGCTTGCTCTCGCTCTCACACTTGCCCAGCATGAAATGTATTCATTTGGGGAGTGGAAATAATCAAGATCTTGTTAAAACATCTTAAATGGGCCTCAAAACTGACTTTTAAAACCCTGACTTTCTCAGAACTGAATTAAGCCTGAAGTATTTTTATAAAAGCAACTCACTTTTGCTGCTATTTGGCATTGACACAAAAGGTGACAGTTCAGAAACTGAATCAGTCCAGGTGCGCTTTGCCCAAGAAAGCTGAAACACAGCAAGCTGCGCTGAGGCGCAGGGCTTGCACGCGCTGCAGGGAAGGGTGGACACATCCCACCTGCAGCAGAGCCAGCTTCAGAGGCCTCAATTTGCAGCTGCACTTGCATACACAAAACTGAGCAGATCTTGGCTTTGCATTCATCCTGTGAAACATCACCTTCCCTTCCTCCCCAGATGATTTAACTGCCATCTCCCAGCAGAACATGTGGTTTCTCACCATTGCGCTCTGGCAGCTTTCCCATTGCTAATTGTGTTGTCTGCTTCTGTCAGCTCCAAAAATATCATTAACTAAAAGTAGGTTTTGTTGTGCAGCTCCTGCTGTCGAGTTCAGCATCACAGCAATATTCACATGCTCCTGCCCCTGCACTCACAAGCAGCTCACCATGAAAAATTCTTACTAATATAGACACACCTGTAAATTAGCATTCTTAACATCCTCATAGTATAACCCTTCAGGTTGCATTTAGCCTGTGCTTTAAATTCTGTAGAAAAATACCATCCTTGAAAAGGAATTCAAGGAATTGGCAATACACTTTCTGCTGGGAAGCAACTTGAAATTGTGAATTTTACTCAGTGCCAGTATTTCCACATAACCCCAACACACACACACACACACACACACCCTTACCCATTTGCTTCTTGAGGAAGCTGCAGGGTTTTATCAGCCTGACCTTTAATGTTCTCCTCATTGCCACCAGCCACACAGTAACTTGTAGCTATGCTGAATTTCTACATAATAGCCCCTGAACTTCAGAGAATGATGGTTTCAAAGGGCACGGTATTACCTTAAGATTAATCAGTTTAAGATTAATCAAGCATCTAGTGGCCTCCAGCAAGGTGCAATGCTTCATTCATTGAGCATCTTTCTGTTTTACTCTTCAGATCATTATTCTTCTCTTTCAACTCTAATTTAGCTTTTTTTTTTAATGCAACAGCAACATGCTCCATTTAAGAATTATGATATTTGAGTATAATGTTAAAAGCAAAAAAAATTGCTGTGGGCTACACATCCACACGCACTCCTAACTCGCACAGGGCACTAGCTACGCAATTTCCCCCTCTGTTAGTAAGCTAAGCTTTGAGGGCTTGTAAAAGTAACAGTGACACTTAAAACTTCTGTGTGCATGGCCATTGCCTTTCAGTAATTGCAAAGAACCCCAATGGAATCGCTGTGGCAGGCTCAAGTTTCAGGAGGAGTCAGCAGCTTTCCTGTGTGTTTGAGACAAGCAAAGCCATCCCCCCGTCCAAAGAACTGGAGACCATTAGGCTGAATGCCAGGCTGCTGCTGAGTGGGACCAAACCAGAGGAGGCTCAGAGATCTCGCTCAGAAGATCATCCACAATATAACATCCCCTCATTTGTGGTAGAAGGTGAGTTATTTGCTCAAGTCAAGAGGGCAAGTTCAGCTCCCAATTGATGTGAGAAGTCACAGAGACCTGGAGCAAACAAAAGCCAAGCTCCTGCAAGAAGGGGACAGATCTTGTCCTTGGCACCTCAGGCTGCTCTTTCCCACGTACTCGGAGAACTGGGGAAAACAGAGCCCTCTCCAGCCCTTCCACCGTGAGATGGGGATGGTGTCCTGGCACCAGGACGATGGCTGTGTATATTAAGGTTAACTGCCATCATTACAAGTCTATGCGCATTTTTCGTAGAGTCCTCAGTGGATATTCTTCAGCATACGCACGAGGATATCGACACGCTCGACTGCAGGATCAGCACATATTTCACTACCGACACTCAGATCATCTGGCCTGGGAGAGAAGTCAGAGGCAGCAGTTCAGACTCGTGGTTTATCTGCACCATAGAACACACAGCTGAAAAGCACAGGACTACAGCCTTCCTTATGCAAACCCCCGGAGAAAGGGAGAGCCACAGCCAAGGGCAGCCTACACAGGAAATCGCACAGCAGACTCATGTTTCAGGTAACATTTATTAACGAGGCAATAGTTTGTGTTTCTACAGAATCCCCCTAGAGAGTTTTATGCTATTACACAAATGCAACCATCAAGAACATTGCGACCGCAGTCCAAGAAGTTTGGTGAATAACCAAATTTCAGGTACATTTCGTAAAACTTCACATGCAAGACATTTTCAGAAGGATTAGATAAAAGAACAGCCCTTTCCATCTATGGCAGAATGTTAAAAACTCCTATAGTAGCTTTACATGTTGCAACAGCCATTTTTCCTGCACATACTTAGGTCATAGGTTACCATGAATACAGATCTCAGGATATAACAAAAATAAATGATAAAAAACCTCATGAGATAACAGATAGCTCAAGGTAACTTTCTAACATAGTGTGAGACAAGACACTTTTATTGGAAAACATATGTTCCCCCTTATGTTGAAGATTATGTCTACTTTACATAAACAAGTAACTTCAAAGCAGCTTCTCAAAAGTATAATTGTTTTCTATTTATAAACTTCTGTATCATCATACCCAAAAGCCCTAACAGCAGATACTTGAACCAGCAAAGTTTTAATATACACACATGCATTAAAACTTGCATTAGCTTTCCAGCACAAAGAGTGATTGCACAGTGATTGTATTGAAAATAAGCCCGGAAGCATAAGCTACTATTTTAAGGTTAGGAAGGAGTTTCAAGTAAAGAAACAAGCTGATGGCTGACATACTCAAAACGGCACTAAGTCAGTGTCAGAACAAGAAAACTCACTCTATGTTTCTGTCTGCAAACCAAACTCACATATTACTTGATTCCCATCCTACCAGAAGCTGCTGTTGATCCACAGGAGCACCCGCAGTGCTGGCAGGCAGGTGGAGCACCGGAGGGTGCAGTCACCCCAGTGGTCCCCAGGCTGCTCCCAGGGCTGGGACAGGAGTAGGCGGCTGGTGGCAGCATGAACAGCACGCACTTCCAGAGCTGAGTGCGTCACAGGCACGTGCTACACATCCTATTTTTCCCATTCCCTTGGGCCTACAGCAGCACCCCTCCATCCCAGAAAAAAAAAAAAAAAAAAAAAGCAGAATTTGAACCACTACTCACCACAAAAGCAGGCAATTTGCTGTGAGTTCAGAGCCCTTGCTATATATAAGAGCATAAAACACGGCAGAGCCTCAGCTTGGGAAGCCCAGCAGCTAGAGAAGGAGAGCTCTTTCCAGCACCTTCCATCCAGCAGCATGACTAACTCTGCTGCTGTTGCCCAGCTGTTCCTTATAACCTCCTCACGAGGCTAATTAGGCAATTCAGCTGACGTTGATTGGCCACCCAGCCCATTCAGCTGCTCTTCATTCTTTGCAGCTGGTGGCTGCCCTGCAGCCTGTGCAGGGATCCACATGGACCTCCGTGCTCCTTCCCCACGGGGCTTTAGGGTCACAGTGACTAAAGCAACAGTCAGGAGGTGGGAGGGAACTCCTGCTTCATTACATCTTCTGCTACAATTAAGAATAAGGATCTAACTGTTCCATCTATTACTCTGTCACATCAAATAAGACAAGAACAAAGGTGAATATGGTAGTGCCCAAAAACAGAAGAAAAGTGCTGTTAAAGGTGTTAGGGAATATTAGCCTGCATCCTTCCTTGCACGGCTGGCAGGATGACATCCTCCTCGGAACTTGTAATTTCCCATGGCTATGCGGGAAGGTCTCGGGGCCTGCAGGATGTGCGACTTCATCATTTGCATTGCATGCTGAAATTAGTTGGGGGCAAATTAGCAGCAGAATCACCTTTTTGCTTTGAAGCAGCCCATAACGCTCAGGGCCTGTAGTACAGATTCGCTTCACTAGATGGCAACTTGTGCTCATCTGAATTCCTCTGTGTTGCACAACTGTCCAAGCCCCTCATGGTGCCACGGCCCTTGTCTCACAGCCGTGTTCCTGGTGCACACGGGAGCCTCTGCAGTGCGGTCAGCTCTGTCCAAGGACGTCTTGTTTGACTGTGCCTTCTCCATCGACCACCAAGCAGCTGTGACCGTCCAGTGGATACTGCATCGGAAAGGAGGGCTCCGGAAACTCCTGTTCATTTATAATGGATCTCGTAAAGTGGTGGAACACGCAGCTGACCGAGCAGAGATGTTCCTAGAGGAAATCCCCAACGGGAATGCCTCTCTCTTGCTCAGAAAGGTGGGAATGAGAGATGAAGGAACATACTCTTGCTCAGTGTCAGTGTCGTCTCTTACCTGGGAACAGACAATCCAGCTGCAAATAGAAGGTAATAGGATGGGTTCTGGAGGGCTTGGTGTTTAAGTATGATGGAGAATACTTGAACAAATGAAACATATGAACATGTGAAACCGTATTCAGTTTTGTTCCATGATGAGGATAGACTTTACAAGTTAAGAGAAGTAGTTACTGTAAGAGATCTTCATTCCCCAGAAAAACCCACAGTGTTCGTCAATGCCGACTCCCTGTCCCTGGTGGAAGGAGAGCAGCACAAGCTGATCTGCGACATGAGGAACTTCTACCCGCTCGGTGCCCAGGCCGTGTGGCTGCGGGAGCTGCAGGGCTCCAGGCAGGTCCCAGAAGTGGTGAGGAATGTTTTCTCCAGCAGCCACAGGGAGAGCAGCAACGGCACATACAGCTTCTCCCGATACTTCCTGCTCACGGCCTCGCTGAGGGACAACGGGCACGTGTACACGTGCCGTGTGGAACACCAGAGCCTGCAGACCCCCATCAGGAGAAGCATCATTGTGAAAGTGAGAGGTATCGCTCGCCTGGGACGCTTCACCCACAGGAGCTTCCCGCTCATCTCTCCCCTTTCTGTCTTTTCCTTCTCACTCCTGTCCCTTCCCCGCACCCGCCATGCAGCATGGTTTGTGACCAAATGTCCGTTCATCAGGGAAGCCACTTCCCAGAAAGTTCTGCCCCATAATTAACATTTTTCTCCATAAGGAATAAGAATCTTTTTTGAACTGTCTAGCAGATACCCTTGGCAAAATGCATAGAATTCCCTGAACAATATGCATGAAATATGTTGTGTTTTTGTCTTGGGCACCCTAGGATATAATCTGTACAGAGAAGGTTCAATCCATACATCACTTCAGTTAACAAATATTAATGGAAATCTTGGGCTGTGGCATTTGGGATGAATCAGAATTCAGCTTTTAATTCAATCGTTGGGTCAGCCAATTCTGATAAAAGGTCTTGCCATGCTGCTGTGGTTTCAGGGTTATTGAGTATCAGTTGGAGGTTGCTCATGTTTTATCCCCGTGCATTAGAGTTTTATGATGTGCTACTGCAGTATATCTTTTTCAAGAGTACGGATAACAACTAGTGCCAGGCCTCGGACCGCACAGACTTTGCTTGTCTCTCCCATTGTTTTCCTTTTGTTCACGGACAGAAGGAACCTCCCTCGTCTGGCTGCTGCTCGTCCTCCTGGGCCTCTCCGTGTGCCTTGCTGTGCTGCTGCGCTACCTTCACAGAGGTAAGAGGTTTGGGTGCACAGAGCCAGGCTTGGGCTTTGGGAAGGAAGGGGGTGGTGGGTGGTGGTGGTTCTGTGCTGCAGGCAGGATGAATTAACAGAGCTACAGCAATCTGTAGAGCGCCCATTCACTAGCTGAGACCGTTCCGCAAGGCCGAGTGTAGCTGAACAGTTTGATTAGGGCTGGGAGGTGGAACCTGTGGTTCATCCTTCTTTTACTCACACTGTTTTTTCTTTTCTTCGCCCCAGTAAGGAGCACTGCTAAGGTAGGTGTGTTTTGTGTTCCCCCTTTCTTATCACAAACACCCATGACCTTCCCATGATTTCCATTTTACGCTTTGCTGATGCATTTCTCTGTTTCACCCTGCAGCACAAACCTTATTAGCCTCGGGACCTTTCATGCCAGGCAGGTAAGGAGCAAAGCTGGGGGACAGTGTGGCCACGAGGCTTGTTTTAAACAGCCGTGTGGAGGAAGGAGGCCGTGCAAGGGAGAGGGCCAGGTGAGCCCAGGTCTTACTGTCGAGCAGACAGCCCAGGGGAGAAGAAACGGGAAAGCACCTGCAGCACCTAGGGGACCTGTCGTGGATTCCCTTCTTGCAGGAAAAGCTGTAATGAGTGCTCTATTGTCCCAGCAACCAAAATCAATCAACCACAAAACACAAATTTGTTCATTTTAATTTTGTTCTTCCCATTTATTCTGCTCTACTTGAGGTTAAAAGGGGAAAAGACTGGTTTTCTAACCAAATGAGAAAAAAAGAGTGTTTATTATGATCCATTGCAACAAACGAAAAAAGTATCAATGAAAAGCTCCAGACAGGAGAAATTCCTCCAGTGTGTGTATATATACACACAGTGTGTATATAAATATATATAAACAAAAATCACTTTTCTGCCTGCAAATATCAATTAAACTAAGTTCAGGCAGAAGCTCTGTGTGCAGACACCAGCGCCAGCGCTCCTCCTGTTCCCAGCGCTTTATGAAGCCCTGCTGAAGCATGGAACTGGTTTTACTGTTCTCCTCAGGATGGGCAGTGTAAAGAAGTGACTTCACCTTGCACCACATGTGCTTCGTTTCAGCCAGGGCCAGGATTTGCCGATGCAGACGCTGCCTCGGCGCATTCCCACGACCTCCCTCCCTGCTTTGGTGAAGCGTGCTGCAGGTTTCATGCCTGGGAAGGGAAAGCCCACAGTTCAGAGCAAGGCTCTGCTACCCCAGCTGCGCCCCACGGAGTCCGCCTAGCGCTTGTGAATCTTGGGAACTGTTCTGGTCAACTCTGCTTTTTAAACAGGGTCAGTTGCTTCTTTTGGAGTGTTTTGTGTCTTGTTTTCTATGTGGTAGCAGCAGAAGGAGTCGCTTGGGGACAGTCCAGTGGTCTTTCAGTGCCGGGTGCTGCACAACCTGCATTTCCTCCCGCGCCCAGCTGAGCGCTGCGAGTGGGAGGGCAGCGAGTTTCCTCTGCAGAGCAGCTCCAGACCCCTCTGAGCTCCCAAACCCCCCGTGCTGGGCCCAACTGATTTGCAGGAGGAACTGCCACTTCCCACCTTGCCACAGCCCCATGTTCCCAAGGGGACCGGCCCGCTGCCCGTCCTGCACCACGCAGGCGCTGCTGGCTACCCCCGCGGAGCCACCAGGAGCGCAGCCCCACGGCAGCCCGGCCTGCCCCACAGCCGAGCTGCCGCACTCGGGACACACACCTCGCACGCATTCGGACACAAAATATGTTATTTATGGTGAATTTTGCAAAGACACATTTAAGCAACAAAATATACATTTGTGAACCTTTAGTTTTATACATAACTAATACAATCTGCTACCATAGCAATAAATTAAATGTACATTATTTACAACAGACATAGGCCACCAGGAACTACAAAGCACTGCTTCTCTACAAAAAATAAGATTTTGTCAGATACATTTCTTCAGAATTTCTCTTTTTCCACTCTATAAACTCTCTTCACATTCTAGTAATACAAATCCAGCATTTTCCCCCACGAGACTGCGCAGCACTACATTCATTCGCGGTGATGACAAGGTGCCGCGAGCCGCAGGAGCAGCGAGGCCATGGCCAGCACGGCGCAAGCGCAAAGCACAGGGGCCCCTCGCTCCGCAGGGAAGCGCCCAGTCCCGTGGGAGGGCACCCGGCCCGCGGCTGCCACCAGCCTTGCGCTGTTGCTGCTGCTGGCTCGCACGGAACCGGGATGTGCCGGGCACCAGCTGGGACAGACCTTGAAACAGCCTAGCTGTCACTTAGGAATAAAACCAGTTTCTCTCTCAAAAAATGAAATAAATGCACTGCCCTTTAGTTTTAGTGTTGATTAAAGATTCTTTCTTATATATATATAAATATATATTTCACTTAAGCCCAAAACGCTCTGCAGTATGTACAGGGATACCCCCACCTCCGAGGCGGAAGCAGCGGTGAGGGGACGGGGCTGCCCCGCAGCGGGACGGGGACACGTCGCGGGGCTCCCACCGTGGGGAGCAGCCAAGCGCCTGGCAGGCGCCCTGGGGACGGGGCTCCTGCTGCCGGCCCCTCTCCCGCACCGGGAGGTCGGCACCGCACATCGTGCTCCCAGCAGTTTCAAACTGTCACACGCCCCTTTAAATCACCATCAAAGAACTCTTTAAAAAAAAAATCGATATAGACCAAAATGAAAATCACAGTTTCAAGTAAAAAAACAAACAAAAAATTAAGACCAGACTAAAGCAAGCACAGCAGACACCGCATCTTCCGCTGAAAGATCTCACAGAGATCAACACCACGCGAGCAACAACAGCAAGTGATTTCGCAGGAAAACAGAGGCAGACAGCACCTCCAGACATGACGCTGCTCAGCACAGGACATGGAGCCCAACACAGCTTGGGGGGACGGTGCTGCAGCCGCAGCCCTGCGCCAAGGTGGAGGAGCCAGCCCCAAAACGCTCCCGGCACCCGCGACTTGAAATCCAAACCCTTCCATCACGAGGTGCTTTTAGCAAAGGTTCCCCATAGGCAGAAGCAGGGAGCATCTCTGCAAAATGCAGCGTACCTCTAGAGCAGCGCTCAGGGACCAACCTGCCACTGAGCAGCCCCGGGGTCCCAGCCCGGAGCCCACAGAGGAGTGACGGCTGCCAGGAGCACCAGAGCAGAGCTGGGAGTGTGGAGGGAAGGACGGGCTGAGCCGCCTGCTGCAGCCCCAGGCCTGGCTGCGGCGAGCGCTGCTGCTGCTCCCTGCGCCGGGGGAAAGGGCCTGCATGCCACGACCGCTCACCCGCACCCCAAAGCTCTTGGCACAAAGCGGCCGCCCCAGCTCAGAAAGGACCCGTGTTTGTGCTTCACACTCTGCTGCCGAACTGGGAAAGAGGAGAGGAATCGAGGCGTTTTCTCCCGCAGAACCAAGAGCCGCACCGGCGCGGGGCAGTGGGTCCCCGGCCCCCCGCGCTGCCCCTGCAGCCTTGCAGTGCTCCCACTCGGCTGCGGGGACGCAGTGGGGCGAGGGGACGGGGACACAGGTGGGGCAAGGGGACGGGTACGCGGTGGAGCGGTGCAGCTCAGAGCACCGCGGCGGTGCAGGACGAGCGATGCAGCAGCACAAGGGAACACACGATGCAGCGCCGTGGCGAGACGAGACGAGGGGACTTGGCAAGTCGAGGGGACGTGGCTCGCGGCACCGCCTGCCCCGAGGGGTGGCCACGCTGCCAGGGTGCAGAATCTGCAGCCAGGCCGTCCCCGGGGTGCTGCGGAGCAGGGAGGGTTTCATTTGCTGGCGAGGAACCTCCCTGCAAAGGAGAGAGCAGCAGTGTCAGGGACCAGAAGCCTTGGGACCCCCCTGTTCAACACTGACCCCCCTCCCCTCCCCAATAACTTTTAGGGGCTTTTAAGATGTGTTTTTGATCACGTCTAATAACCGCTGCACTGCTATCTGCGTCAAGCATCTTTAAAAGTGTCCGACCTCGGCAGGGATGGATCGCTCGGCTGCGTGTGAACGCTCACCTTGGGAAAGCTCCCGGCTCTGCCTGCTGCTAGTGGCTCTGGAAAAGAAGCAGGGAGCGGGTGAGGTGAAGGAAGGAGCGAGCGGCCGCGGGGCCTCGCGCTCCTCCCCATCCCCACGGCCCAGCCCTGCGCGCGGACGCACCGTGCTGGAGCTGCAGTGGCTGAGCTTGTCGAAGCGAAACTTCAGGTTGGACCTCGGAGAGTTCCTGTTTTTCATATCTGCTGGAGGACGAGAGGGGCAAAAGAAGAACAAGCCCAGGGAGGCAGAGCACTTGTTTAAGCTACGCGGTCGACTGCTGCTAGAACAGCCGGCGGTCTGATAGACTGCCGGGAATGTTGTCAGTGTTTCGTCTGCTTTGGCTAAATGCTTGGCAAAATCTGTACATTAAATGTCTTTGATAGAATAAATGGAGGCTTAATTATAATATGCAATCTCTCTAATAGAAATGTCACTGAAAAGGCTACAACAAATGACTGAGCAGTGCACTGTATGAGTGGATTTCAATGTTCTTGGCAGGGGAAACACCAAATAAACACTTCAAACCTTACAGGGACTGCTTTACTACTTCAGATATCGCTAATCCAATAAGGCGGAGGGCTGGGAGTGCTGCACAGGGAAAGCCAAGCAGACTCTTTTTCAGCTCATTTTTTCTCCTAGATCATTCTCAATTACTTGCTCATTAGTGGTGAATTTGCAGCTGCCCGGCTGCTGGAGTCTGCAATGTGCCTCTGCAATCGAATCATGGCTCCTTGGAGCGGGCTCCGCGGTGCACAGGGAGACCAAGCCGCTGTGGTCGGCAGTGGGGAGAGGCAGGACGGGCAGCGCGGAGCAGTGCTGGGCTCAGTGGCCCAGGCCTATAAACCCTGCAGCTGTGATTCCAGGCCCAGGACTGCCTGCTCTGCCCTTGCACTTGTTTTGAGCAAATGGGCGCTACATTTGTGGGAATTAATAGTGCTCGAGGACCAGCTCAGAGGGCCAGAGAGGATAGGATGGCGAGGAGGATAGGGAGGAAGACAGGGAGGATGTAGAGGAAGCTGGGGATGGGCATGAGGAGGAAGAAGAGGAGCAGGAGCATTGGTTGGGACCCACCTGTGGGGCTGCGGCTCATGATGACAGGGGTGGCAGCAGCCCCGCCGGGGCTCTCGCCGCCGGGCGCCGCGCTGTAGACGAAGACGTCCTGCTTGAAGGGCGATGCAGTGGAGGGCTGGCTTCCCTGTGGGGCAGACACGGCTTGGACATGCGGGTCAGGCGCACAGCCCCGCGGCCCCCGCGCCGCTGCCCTCGCCTACCACGCTGTCGTACTCCTCCAGCGTCTCGCTCTCGCCTGCGGCACTGCTGAAGCTGCTCGTGCTGGAGGAGGAGCGCGAGATGTTGGAGCGCCCGTTCTCCCTCAGCTTGGCGAAGGGCCTAGGGGTGCACAGGGAGGAGCATCAGTGCAGGGCAGCGCTGGGACCTTGGGCACCCCGTGGGCATGTGGCAGGGCGAGCAGCGACACCCAGGACACAAGAGGGATCATGGCATGAAACGCAAGACCGTGCAGCCCCGCGGGGCCCAGGCAGTTCTGCCCGATGCTGCTCGTGGCCGAGGAGCATGCTCCCCATGCACTGGGCAGCAAAGGGGCCACGCGTGGAGCTCCACGGTCTGTCCTTGCCATGCAGGGCCATGCCCAGGCCCACGAGCCGCAGCCACCCAGCTCACCTCTCCCTGCTGGGGCAGATCTCAGGGGAGCTGGGGTTGGAGCAGGGCTCGGCCTTCGCGTCCTGCGCCGTGTGCACCGCGTCTGGCGTCCGCTGTGCTCCAGAGGTGCTGTCACTGCAAAGAGGTGACTGGTCACAGAGCTTGTAGCAGAGCCTCCACGTGCACAACCAAGCGCCCCTCTCATCCCAGCACCAAGTCACAGGGCTCTTTGCACACCCCTCCTGCACTTGGCTTGGGGAAAAGGGCCAAGGTGGCAGTGCCGACAAAGCGTAGGAGGGACCTGGTGGCTATGGGACCCCCACTGGCCACACCAGGCCCTCCCACCGGGGCACTGCAGATTTACCACCGCGTCCTGCCCTCCGGCTGGCTCTCAGACCCCGTGTGCAGGCGCGGGAAGAGCCCCGAGCGCCGCTTGATGGGGCTGCGGGACGGGTTCTTGGTGGTGGCCACGGGCACTGGGGGCTGGCGAGAGAGCAGAGCAGAGCAGTGGGGTCAGCGGGAGCCGGGCCAGACCCCACACGGCCACTCCCGCACACGGGGACACTCACAGAGAACGTGGCCTTGGTGACCTCGGTGCTGTTGTGGGTGATGCCGCCGCTGAGGCTGCCAGGGATACCGCCGCTGTGGTGCCGCCTCTGGCTGCCCACCATGGTCTCCATGGAGTGGCTGCGCACGCGGATGGCGCGCTGCGCGGCGGGCACAGCGCAGCACCGCCTCAGCACGGGGCCGCCGAGCCGGGGACAGCGCCCGCGTGCCCGGCGGCTCAGGCGAGAGTGGCACCCGCCGCGTGGGCACGGCAGCCAAACCCCGACTGCTCCGCGGCGCCTCCCACCAGCACCTCCCGCGGCCCCAGGAGCGGCCGCTGCTCTCGCTGCCCACCTTGAAGGACTCCAGGAAGCCGCCGTGGCCGCCATTCTCCAGCTTGTCCTCCTCGGGCCCCAGGCCCAGCATGGCCTGCGTGTGCCCATGCAGCTCGTCATGCAGGTTGTCCAGCAGTGCCGCGCGGGTCCGGTCCTGTGCCACAAGGTTCCTGGTGCACGCGGGCAGGCGGGCAGCCTGCGGCACGGAGCTCCGTGCTGCCCGCGCGGCCCTGGCGCGGTGGCGGGACGGGGAGGGATGTGACTCCTTTACCTCCAGCTTGGCGAACTTGTCCGACTTGCAGCAGGCGTTCTCGGCGTTGATGAGCTTGGTGAGCAGGAACTCCCTGAACTCGGGGCTCTGTGGGGGAGCACAGCAAGCTCGAGACCCAGCGGCCACTCCAGTGCTCTGAAGCACAAACCTACAGATCCTGAGTCCAACTGGAGCACCCAGCCACCCCTTGGACGCGGGAAGCAGCCGCTGTGCTGGCTTCTGCCTGGCAAACCCCAGCCCCGTTCAGCAGGTAGATCGTGGTGCCTCCGCCTCTCCCACTGCAGAGGGGCAGGCCAGCGGCTCCAACACCACGAGCATGGGATGCGGGAAGCGCCTCGCTCCTGCTCCTGCGGGGCCTGGGTATCCAGTGCAAGGCTGGAAACGGAATGCTGATGCTGCCAGCTCTGCACAGGGCAGCAGTGTTCAGTTCTTTAAGCAAAGCTGGATATTCCAGGCTGTCCCTCTTCCTTCCCAGGACATATAGCAAAGTCTCCTGGCACCCCTTTGCCCTGCGTGTGAGCGGGAGCGCGTGGCCCATCGGGTCTCACCTTGTGGAACACAGGCGGGCTGGGCAGCGGGGGCCCGAACGAGGGCACATCCTCTCGCGCCGTCACCGACACCTGTGGGGCCGAGGGAAGGGTCTGTGCAGGAGGGCAGGATGCAGAGCTCCTGGCACCGAGCTGCTCACTGCTCACGTCCACCCGGTGGCACCCAGGTGCAGAGGGGCTGCAGACCCACACAGCGGCTCTGCACAGTCCCTGCCCCGTCTCGCTGCCATGCACGCCCCTTGCAGCAGAGCCTCGAGCCCATCATGGGCAGTTGCAAATCCCCAGGGTGCCTGGGTCTGCCCGAGCGGGGAGGTGGCTCCAGCGCCCCGCGTCCCCAGCACCCCTACCCTGTAGGAGGGGCTCTCAGCCTGGGGGTTCTCCAGCTGCACCACGACGTAGGCGTGCAGGAAGTTGGAGGCAATCATGTCCGGCACGAACGGCGTGTTCTCCTCTTGGAAGATGAGCGCCACGATGTCGTTGCCTATGTGCCGCTTCCTCTGCAACTGGGCGGGGAGCGGAGATGTTGGATTTGGGAAGGAGGCTCCAACATCCCCCCAGGAGCCCCACTTCCCATGGCCACCTACCTGCTGCGTGTCACCCTCGGTGAAGGGCAGTTTTGTGGAGACGTGGAACATGATCTCCCTGTCCCGGAAAGTGGTGAACACCGACTCGGCACCAGTCTGCCCGTGGCTGACGTCCAGCCCCCCGCGGAAGCTGCCGCAGTGGGGGGAAGGGGTTGTGTGAGTGAGCAGCCAGCGAGCACCGCTCTGCCCTAGCAGGGAACCAGCAGGGAGAACATGGGGGAAAGCAGCACTGGGGTGATAGAGGTGGGCGCAGAGCTGCCCTGAGGGCTGGGGGCACAGAGCGGCCAGCACTGCCCGTGCTGGTGCCCGGGCTGCAGTAGGGGCAGACTCCGAAACCCAACAGCTCCACAGTTCCTGACGTGCCAGGAACCAGGCTCCAGCTGTTTCCAGCTGCATCCGCTCAGGCTGACCCTGCGCTCAGCAGCGCCACCGGCCGCTGTGTTCATGCAGTGGAGCTGCTACCTACTGCACGATGGGTGTCTGCAACATCGTACTTGTCGCTGCACCTACCCCTTGAAGTCCTGCAGGGTGATGGTGTCCCCAAGCAAACTCAGGAAGTTCTTGAAGGCAGGACTCTCATTGTTGTTTCCAAACAGCTCTTCCTCCAGGGTCTGCAGAGAGGACAGCCATAAAGCATGAAAGAAAGAAGTGCTAGAAACGATTTTCCAACAGGATTGCTACACAAAGAACAACATGTTTACATAATGTTCGTAGGAAACACACCTCTTGGTTTGCCTGGTGCTGCATATGTACCAGACTCATCCCTACACAGGGATAACAGACCCCAAGCAGAAGAGCTGGTTCCTGAACAGCCTCAGTGCTGAGCATGGAAATGTTCGGAACGGGCCCCAAACCTGCCCCAGGTGAGGGCTGCACAACCCTCTTGGCAAGACCGACCCAGCCACCCAGCGCTGGGCTTCCGGGAGCAGCGTCCAGCCAGGAGAAAGGTACCCGGGCAAGCCATGGCTGGCATCCAAACACAGGTTAATACTTCCTTGGAAAAATTCAGTCTTAATCTTCCTCTCTGAGGTACAGTTCAGAACAGAGACCTGACTGTGGTCTTGCATTAGTTACTCAATTGGATATAAAACACAACGTGTGAAGATAATGTGAACGCCTGTCAGAACAAACCCTCAGAAATTATCAGATTCATCTGTCTCTCCGCTTCTCCTCTGAAGCTCCCGAGCTAATGAAAGCCTTTCCAGCAAACACATGTCCTCATAGCCCGCAGTCTTATAAGACCAATCGAAGTGTTTGACTCTCTAAACATACAGCTGATTAAAATATCGCGGTTGCTAAAATGCATTTGCGCATCCATGTCTCCCGCAGCAGCCTCTGGGCTCATTTACATACTGATTTTTCAGTGTCATCATTTTTAATGAGACAGGGAAACATCCAAGGAAGAGGATGCCCAGTACCACAATGCGTTGCACGGGGGAAAACTAGTGCCAGGTGCAGGTTTCCACATCCAGGCTCTCGCCCGATCTGCAAGGAGGCTCTGGCTCAAGGATGCACGTGACCCTCACCTGCCGGAACTTCTGATAGATGACACCAAACTTGAAGGTGTTGTTGACCTCATGCTCATCATAGGACACGATCATCTGGGATGCCTGGAAGGGCAAAGTGTGAGTGGTTTCATTTGCAGGTCACCACGTGGAAACCCCCATAAGCCAAACATCTTTGGGGCCACGGTCCCAAAGCACCCAAGGACCAGAGACAGCAGGAGAGTCACACTAGTATAACCAGCCTTGGGAGGATGCACTCATGGGCAGAAACACAAGGAAACCCAGAGAATGCTAATCACCTTTCCCACATTCTCAGTGAAAAGGCATGGATTTTTGGGTGCAAACAGGTGCAGCTGCACTGCAGCATCGTGGCTGCGAGGGACAGGACAGACGGACACCGTGGGGCTGGGAGGGCAGCGCAAGCCTGGCCCGACGCGTTGACTCACCTTGGGGTACAGCACCGGGTTGAACTTCAGCCCCGAGGCGTCGTCACAGAAAGCCTGGGTGAAAGGAGCCACGGTGGGCACAAGGCCACGGGTCTGGACCCCCACAGCCGCCCCCAGACCATCCTTGACCGCAATGGGGCAGCCAGACCAGCACCAGGGTGGTTGGGATGCTGCTCACAAGGGTCAGTCCTCGTGAAGGCGCTGGCTGCAACAAGCCTGGGATGCCCCGATTTCCACGGGCCACGGCCGGGCCGGGCGAGGAAGATGCTGCAGCGCAGGGCCAGGGGCAGGACAGAGTGGGGAGAGAGCAGCGTCTCACCTTGGCGATCTGTGGGATGCTGGGAAGCTTGCTGAACCCGGCCAGGGGGATGCGCTCGTGCAGCGTCTTCACCTTGGACCTGGCACGGAGGAACAGAAACGTGTTCCATGGACCAGTCGCGCTTCCTGGCCACCGCGCACGCCAACCCGCGGATCGGGGCGCCGGGCAGAGTCGCGGCTCCCCTCGCGCCGCGGGGCACAGCGAGGGACAGGGCCGTAGCACCCTGCCCTCGGGGCGCCTGCGCGCCTGTCGGAGTCGTTATCAGGCACCCACAATGCAGAGCAGCCCAGTACGGCGCACCAGCGGATATCAGGGCTCCCCACCCGCTCCGTGCAGGAGGCACCGCGAGCTGCCGTCCCCGCCGGCCAGCCCAGCGCTTGCCAAGAGCAGCGCTTCTGTTCAACTCCCAGCTATTTTTCACCATACCTGAGTATAATCCTTAAATACTCAGTGCCATCTGCCTCTTCACACTTAATAGAAAGGATCAGATTTCCCAGACTGCTGGCTGTGCAATAAAAATTTAAATGATCCTAAAAATAGAGGAGTCGTGTTAACAGCGCAACAAGGAGCTTGCCAATGGCGAAACCACGCGGGACGCGGGTGCACAGCAGCCTTGCTTGCCGCGCTGGGATTTGCTGGTGCCACTCCCGGCCTGGGGATGCGGTTCAGGGCGCCCGTGGATCAGGCCCAGGACCCACCTTGCCCAAGAAGTGCCTGCGATAGGCCCGGGCCTCCCCCTTGCACTCCAGCCTGTAGCCGCTGGCACTGGGACTCACACCCTCCTCCTCCTCCTCGCAGACGCTGCTGTCAGATGACGTGGGGGTGCCCAGGTTTTCGGGGTCTTCGATCCAGTACCCGCCAAACTGGGGCAGGATGACGAGGGGGTATGGGCCCCCCTTCTCAATGACCTGCAACGCGAGGTGCCCTGAGCCGGCTGGAAGCACCAGTGTCCGCGGAGCGCGCGCCCGGCCGCAGACCCGGCACGGTGCAGCTGCGACGTGCTCCACGCAGCTCGCCCGGGCAGCAGGAGCGCCACACTGCTCCTTGCCAGCACCGCTTCTGCACCCACCTCCTCGATGCTGGGGTACGGGATGTAGTCCTCCTGCAGAAAGAGGGAGAAGAGCCAGGTGACCCCCTGCTCCCACTACCGGGGGGAAGCGCCTCCCCACTGCCTTTTGCCCATGACCCTCCTGCTCTAACCCATTTGCTGCTTTTCTTAAATGCAGGGTCAAATCACCTCATCCTGCACCACCCAAGGAACTTGTGGAGCTCATTTTAAAATTCTCATCCTGACATACAAAAAACAATGATTTTACATGGCTTGCCATGGAAATACTGGGTCTGACACAAAGCCGGATTAGGGATTTACATTCACCACTATCTTATCTTTGCATTTAATCAGTCTGGTTTCTAGATAACACCCAAATCCTTTTTTTAGGCCTTTTAGTGACTGCCTTTGACTAGACACATTCAAGCCCTGACTCCTGGGGATTACAAGAGAGAGGGAGGGGGCACAGAGAAGATCTGCCCGAGAAGCAGATCTCAACTGACCTTATGCTTTTGGTTTCCAGCTCTCTGTTCTTCCAGTTTTGGTGCCTGTTTGAAGCAAACCAGTAGATTGACTGATTTAGATGTTCTCAAGAGCAGAGACAAAGCCCCAGCAACATGAGGGCATAGGGAACCCCCCAGAAGTGAGGGATGCAGAGGGTCCCGGGCTGCCCCCCAAGCCCCTCCACCAGCAGCAGCAGCATCAGAGCGCCCCAGGGCATGTGGGAGGCGCAGGGTGAGAGGCAGCACTTCTGCTGGAAAACACCTCCGAGCAGCCTGGAATAAGTCCAAGGAGAAAGCCTGGAAGAGCTGCGCTGCAGCCTAGTCTGGGGCATGTCTGTGTGACGTATCATAAATCTGAATTGGAAAGTATCTCCCAGGACCCTTCTTGGTGGGAAGCACTTTGCTCTGGTGTTCTCGGGGAAGCGCAGCATGTGCTGCACGAGTGCGAGTTCCTCCTGGCACTCACACCCGGAGCATCTCCGCCTGCTCTGGAAAGGCCCTTGTGAGCGCACAGACTGCAGCAATGTGTTAGCGCTCACCTGCATTTTTTCCAGCATTTCGAAGAATTCTGCAGACTGGAAGAGAAGAGAGAGGAAGCGCTCGTTGGCGGCTGCGGTTGGGCTCCGAGCTGCCCGGCCCCGCGGCAGCCCCAGCACAGCTTGATCATCGCACACTGCGCCCGCCACTCGGAGCTCTGCCGGAGCCACTTCCCTAATGGCTCCTTAACTGCTTTTTTATTATTATTATTATTATTTGTAATCACATCAGCCTTGGTGCCGAGCCAGCATGAGCCCTTGGATCCCTCCTGCTCCGGGGCTGTTTCAGTGCCTGCCGGTCCCGCTCGGCAGCTGCGTGCGGGGACGCTGAGTCACCCGGCGCAGGGCGCAGCCGGCACTGCCGGCACTGCCGGCGCCACGGCCGCTGCGCTGGGTGCATCTGGCCTGGGCAGCGGCTGCCCACGCCTCGGCCACGTGGCTCGTCCTGGCCACGCGAGGCAGCACCGCGGCGCTGCGGGCTGAGCCCCGCATAGAGCCCTGCTCTAGAGAGGGCTCCCTCAACGGAGCTTTTAAACAGCCCCTAAACAGCACGAAATTCCCAAATAAAAAGAGAAGATAGGATCAAAGGAGGGGATGGAGCAAAGGGCAGCTGCAAGACCCACCCATTCCCTGCTCTGCAGCGGCCACGCAGGACAAGCCCAGCACTGGCACCTCCAAGCAGTGCCTGGCCCAGCTGTGCCCAGCTCTCTGCGCGCAGGGAAGCGGAGCTGGGCACTGGAGAGGCCCGTCCTGATGGGCAGCTCGCTGCCGGGCCTGGCTGGGCTGTTCAAACAGCCTTCAGGTCCCATTCTGACCTCAGCCGGAATCCAGCCAGCAAAACCGCATGGCCAGGCCTCCCCCGTCACACTCTCCAGTAGGAGATGGGCACACAAAGTCAGTGGAGCAGCCCTGTTGTCCCTATGGACTCCCAAGCTCATCTAGTTGCCCCTAAAGCCAAATCTATGGGCAATAGGAGTTTTAGTAATAGCAGAGAAGACAACAACAGCCCTGTGATGCTCAGGGGGAGCAATGTCACCCCCACGTTCTCAACCCAGCACTTCCACCAGCAGCTCAGAAACGCAAAGACAGAATCAGCAGCTCGCGCGCTGTCCTGCAGGATCCACTGCTGTGGGCACCTGTCCCAGGACATCCCCACGGGATCCCAGCTTCACCCCACTGAGTGCCAAGAGCAGCTGGAGGCAGCGGGTTCTGTGTGCCAGGAGCAGCTCTGTGTAGAAGAGGAACATGGGCAGCAGGTGCCCACTTTGGTGCTTCCCAGTATGAGGGAAGAGGGAAACAGCAGGAGGGCAGAACAGCAGGGGCCGGCGCACACTTACCAGGAGACCCCTACAGAAATCCATGGCTCTCTCCGTGCCCGCCTGCGCGGTGGCCGGGATGGCTGCGCTGCATCACGTCCTGCTGCCCGCCCCGCGGCCCGGGTTAATGTTTGGCCAAGGGCGGCCCGGCCGCGAGGCGGCTCAGGAGGCTGCGGCCCAAACAGGTTGTGCAGGAAGCGGCCCAGGACATGGGCAGGAGAGCGGCGATCCTGTCTGGCACCACAGCAGCCCTGGGGCCCCCGCGAGGCTCCTGCGCCCGGTGCCAAGCGGCAGCCGAACACCCACCTGCACAGCTCCAGCAGGGAGCCCAGCACTGCCGGCTATCACGGGGCCGCTGCCTCCGCCAGCCGCAATGGGACTGCAGAACGAGGCCCCAAGGCTGGTACCCCTTTGTCCGGGGAGGCTGGAGCCCTTCCCAAGGGGCTCTGAAGCCCCAGATCCTGTGGGAGCAGCCAGGAGCCCTGGCCAGAGGCTGCAGAGGTGCCACTGCCACCACGGGATGTGACGGGCTGGGCTGGCGCAGGGAGCAGCTGCGTCCCCCGCCCGGTGCTTTGCTCAATACAGCAGCCCTGTCTCCCATCTCCCTGCTGAGGGATCGGGCACCGCGGCCAGGGTGGCAGCAGGCCCGGCCACACATCTGCACCAGCAGCAGCCCAGGACGGCTGAGCCCTGCGCGCCTGCAGACAAGCGGGGCCGGCGCTGCCCGCTCCTGAGGGCGGCGCCTGGGGAGGATGAGGCACTTGGCACAGGGCTGGCAATGCCAGTAGGCAGGAGGCATCGCGGCAGCACCTGCCACAGCCTCACAGCGTCCCCAAGCTCAGGTGCAGGTAGTAAGCATGGGCTGACCTGCGGGATGCAGGTAAATTCCCCAAAGCCTGGGCAAACCCCAGTAAACTAACTGCAAACAGGGCAAATGCAAGTGCTGCTGCCTGCGGATCCTGCAGCAGGGGAGCAGCGGTGCCGCAGCGGACAGGAGCACCGGCATCCACCATGTGCACCTACCTTCATGGTGGCGGGGGCGGTGAGTGGCGGCGAAAGGGGCCGGTCCCGCTCCGACACGGGGCCATCCGCGCTGCCCAGCAGCTCCTGCTTCCTACAAAACAGAGATGTGTCACCTTCCCATGTCACCTTCCCACTCTAGGGACTGCCATGCGCTGCTGCCAGAGCACAGGTCTTAGGGAGTGCTAAAAGGCAGGGCACGCGCCAAGGTGGAAGGGGATGTGGGAAGCAAAGGCTCAGGTGGCTGCCTGACAGCCCCACTGCCAGATCCCCACGGTGAGGGTTGCACCCACGTGGCCAGGGTGGAAACACCGCGTCCGGCAACGACGCGGTGCCCAGGGCAGCGTGCAGGGTGTGGGTGCCAGGCGTGGGGTGACTGGGGGTGATGGCACTTGCTGCGTTGCAGCAGTGCCAGGTGCCAAGCGCTCCGCATTGAGTGGCACTGCCACAATGCGGCCGTGCAAACCTGCGACGGCAGCAGCGCCGCACAGGGGCCCGTGGTTACTCCCTGCTGTAGCTAATTGCTTTGGCTAATGAAGCTCCCGTTGCTGGCGGACTTTGATCCCACCTGCTGGAGTGCGTGCAGCTGCAGCAGTGCTGGGGACGGTGCTACCTGCCTGGCCCTACCTCTGCCATTCCCACTACCCCGCGCAGCCCGGCCGCTCGCTTTGCAGCACAGGGAGGTGAGCACAGAGCCCTTCTGATGGATTTCACTATTTGCCCTGGTGGGATGCTGGAGCACAGCTCACCCGGAGCAAAGCCCTGGCTCTGCACTGCTTCCCTTAACCTCCAGCTTGCAGCTCCATCACATGGAGCTGCACAGCCACCTCGCAGGCACAAAATGTATCAGACTTTAATGCGTAGATTAAAGTTATGGGGACGCACACAAATAATTCAATCTGCTCCGGTGAGTCTAGGGTTTGTATCAGGTTGCCATAGCATCATCTCCCAAGCGTTATAAAACCACTCGCGCAGCAGCGTGGCCCTGTCATGTGCGGGTCCTTCACTCAGGCCGAGCTCAGGGACCGGGGCACCGTCATGTCTCTTCCCCGATGGGCATCACCTCACAGCCCCTTGCTCAGCCCTGTGCATACCCAGCACTAGCATCTCACGTACTCGCAGGGCGCCAGCTCTGCGGGCAACACGGAGTGAGTGCAGACAGCAGCTCCCTGGACGCATCCCCGTCAGGTGGAGAAGGCAAAGTCACCGGCAAGGACAGACGCTGGGATTCTTGCAGGAAGCTCGGTACTCACCAGCGTGCGCCTGCCCATGCACAGCCCCGCTTCCATCACACTCACCAGGAGGAAGCAGAGCCCTGCACGGAGCAAGGTGACATCTGAGCGCAAAGGCTCCACGGTGCCGGAGCAGGCACTGCGAGCAGAGCACGGAGCAGCATGGCCACCGCGCAGCGCACGGGAGCTGTAGGTCACAGCCACCTGCCCAGAACGGCGGTTGTGAGCTGGAACCTGGATTTTCCCCCATTCCCCGAGGACTTCCCCTTTGGTCTCCTTAAAAAAGCAAGACTTGATAAAAATCTGTTTCTGCCATTTTTTTTGTGTTTCATTTACCAACTTTGCTTTCCACCCTCCTTTCCAGAGAAGGAAATTTGTGCTCCCCTCAGCCCTCGGACAGAGCAGCCAGGGCCCCGTGCGCTTCCTTTCCAGCAGCATGGATCATGGAGAAGCACAACCCAAGGACTAACCCAGGGACCTGGGCAGCCACTTCTGAGTTCAGCCTGCCACTGCTGCTGAGCCGGTGTCCCCGACGGGCGCAGAAGCGACACCACGGTGAAGGCCACGCTCCCCTCAAGCACCAAAGCCAGGGGCACAGGGAGGCCTCAGGCTGCTCCAGAGCAAACCCAAATCCTGGTCCTGCGAGAGCCGATAGGGCTTTTTAAGTCAATTCCAAGCAGCACAAAGACTTTGCTCCGGATGCTCCCCTGAAGGGTTGGTTTTTCTCCACCAAGTGGGCAGAGGCGAATAGTCCATGGCACAGAGTGGGTTCAGGGAAGGCTTCATAAGAAAGGTTCAAACCACCAACTTTCCCTTAATTTGTTTTCTTCTTTTTTTTTTCATAAAAGTCCAATTAAATAAGAAAAAGCAGAAATAACCGATAAGAACCCCTGAAGCTGCAGTAATCACACTGCTTTCACACTGGATAGGAGGTATGCACACCACCAACATTTGGGTACATATTTCTTACTATTTTTAACAACAAAGTTGCCAGAGCATCACACTCCCAGGGGAAAGGGAACTCGCTGACCGAGAACGCACCAAATAAATCAGAGCAGTGCAAATCTCTGAAGCAAATGGAAACTCACAGCAATAAGCAGGAGGGGGAAAAAAATCAGGAGCTGCACACAACAGATGCCAGCTAGCACAATATTGCAAACAGGCTATTTCCTCCAAACGCGGAGTTGAACATGAAGTACAGTCCGCAGCTTAGTCAATGAAAGCTGAAACCATTTGTCAGCTGTTCCCGGCGCAGAGACAAAGCTGTCGGCCGCATCCAGGCCGCTCTGAGCACCGCAATCCGGGGGGGAAGCGCTGCCCGGGTGCCCGGGCTGCCCACAGGGCTGGGGCGGCTCCGAGGATGCAGCCAGGGCAGGGGCGCACAGCGAGGCAGGGCTCTGAGCGCGTCCCCTCGCCCCGTGCTCGGCTTTAGAGAGCGTTGCCTGCCCGCCAGCAGCAGAGCCCTCCAAGGGCAGCAGGGCAACAGGAGTCACCACCACTGCTAGACCCTGCTCGCCCCAGACACTGCTCCGGCCATCGCTGGTGCGAAAGGCACCAAGGAGGTTTTTTTAAAAAAAAAAAGCAAAGGAAGAAGAAGGCAGGAGGAAGCAGAGGACGGCGCGGTTACCTTTTCTCCTTGCGCTGCCGGCGGGAGCGGTGCAGCAGGCCGATGAGCAGCACGGCGGCGCGGATGCCGGCGCGGCGGGAGCGCAGCGCGGCGCCCGGCCGAGACATCGTCCCCGCGGCGGCGGCTCCC